AGAGAGGTCACATTTGTATTAACTTTGAGCATGAAATACCTGAGTTACATCAGAAATCAACCAGGCTAGCTTGTACACTCAACATAAAATATATAGCATTTTGAAAGATTAAACCAATGTCCCATTCAGTGTTTTGGATATGGCCTGCATTGTAAACAAGGGGCACTGCTAAGGAGTTTTTCCTTTTAACACTAAGGCCGAGTTTTATGTCACAAATACAAGGCCTGTTCTTTGTATAGGCCCAAAGCTATTGGACACTGTGTAACCAGTGTCTTTAGAACTTACTTATACCGACAGGATTTTATCTGTCCTTGGGTATCTGTTTTAATTAGTGAAATACCTTTTAAGTCCTTGTACATGCACAACAATATATATTACATTTGTAAAAACTAGTCAACATCATGTTGATTAGTAAGCAACTTGAATATATATTGCAGTATCTCAGTTACAGCTAAAGCAGGATGTCTTCTAAAGTCTGTTTCTATTGAGGTACAGTGACTGGAATGAAGGTCAGGGTTGGAGAAAGACAGAGGCCTATGCCAGTGCTCAGCAATAGGCTGGATTTTTCTTTAGTCATGATTATTCAGGGCTCCTCTGTGGAAATGATGGGTAGAGATAACAGTCTGGTCAGAGGGAGAAGGCAGGTGCAGTGCCCTTCAGTCCTAATGGACCATCTGGGAAGTGGAGTCTGAGCTCCAGAGCCTCCAGCTCAGAGTGCAGTCTCACTTCCAGTGGCTGCCTTGGCAGTCAGGGCATGGCTGTGGGGCCTCTTGAGACAGTCCCTCCTTACTGGCTTCTGACAGCATCAGCGGGTGAACCTCATCAGCAAATGAATCTCATTGTTGTTGAGCTCTTCTTGGAGCCCAGAGAATCAGACTTAGAGTCTGTTTTGAGGCCACAACAAAGGCAGCCATTTTTTTTTTTTTTTTTTTTTTTAATCTCTTTGCTTTCTCTCCCTGGTTTTCTCCCAGTTCCAATTATAGGACACTAAAGAAGTTTTTACTAAATTATCAGATGAGTTCTCCTGAGCAAAAGCTATCTTTTGTAACAAAGCTCTTTTCTAATATCTGGAGCTGACTGAAGAATGAACTTATTTTTAAGAGTCATCTGTCCCTCTAATGAATTAGCATCTCAGGAAGTATGTCTTACCAGTGTCTCTGTTAAACATTTTAAGAAATCAGCAGGGTGTTCATCTTTCTCCTGGTAAATAGCTAAAATTTAGAATAATGAGAAGACTTGGTTTTAGTTCTTTTTACACCTTCAAGAATACACACTAGAAGATGTCTTTTTTAATCTCCTGCCTGGGTGACTGTCAGGTGACCAGGGGTCTGACTATTTGGGCTCTAGTGGAAGCAGGTAGTTCTACTGGCTATCTATCTCTTGGCTAAATTTAACAATATGATATTTATCTCCAAATGCAATAGCTGCTTGTGATGCTGCCTTTTACTAGAAGTCAAAGCTTGGTTTAAGATTAGCATATCCTTCCAGTCTTGTTCATAAGTCTGAGTGAGGCCTCTAAAGACCTCAATGTACTTATCAGGGTCATTTAAAGATTTTCTGAGATCTGACTTGATCTGTTTTAGGTCACAGAGAAAAAGGCATATGAATGCTGCAAGTTCTAAATTGCCTATTTACTTTTTTAAAGGATAGTGTCCTTGAGGAGCTTGCCTAATTCAGCTAAGTATGGGTGTAGCCTTGTAGAAGTCTGGATTACAGCTGTTTTAGAAGTCCACCCTTTAGAAAAGCAAATAGAGGATACCTTACTTTCAGTAACAGTGGGCAGTGGGCGAAACTATGATTAACACTGTCTTGTCCTTAGGCTGCAAAGGTTAGGGAGGAGCAGCCTTAGGCTCCAGGATAGTGAATGCCTTAGGCGCCTGAACTGCGTGGTTCTTCTGTAGCTCACATCTACATTTCAAAACTAGATAACAATGACTTTCTTAATGCAAACAAAATCTGAATATAAGACATTTTTACCAGTTTGATTTTTATAATACCTTTCTAATTATAAAATAGTGACATAATTGATACTTTCTCTGCATTCCATTTTGGCTCTAGGGGGTACATAGGCCATGCACATGTGCAGAAAAATATTAAACGGCTCTTTTTCAGTGTGTATGAATGAGATGTTTTTCAGTGGGTAATGATGCACTCTAAAGGAGTAATAGACTTTGTGAAATTCGCACAATCTGAAATGCAAAAAGAGAGAGTTCTGGGCATCCCTACCTTACCTCTAATTGATTCCCCCTCAAGGTGTCCCCTGAGTAGACCACTCCAGAGCAGGTGGATGCTCTTGGAGAGAGTGGAGACAAGATCCGACCAGCCTGTCCACCCTTGAACTGGCGCGTGATAAGAATCTCATGAACTGTGCGAACCATGCACTTACTCTTATTGAGTATTTGTAAATATGCTACAGTTGGTCTGGAGACAGTAATGTCTACAGAAGGAAGCATAACTATTGCATGAAGATGTGTGTTGGAAGCAGAGCACTTTCCCTGCTGTACTATAAAAGAGATCACCTTTGGAGGTAGACAAGAGACAATTGACTGGAAGAACTTTGCCTTGGGCCCTAGGGTAAAGAAATCTCCAAAACACTTGTGTTCTTCCATTTAGTCACCAGGGCAGCCTTTCCTAGAAGAACTAGGCTATATTAAATCTTTGGAGCTCACAGGTAACTTACATTTATCATTTAGCAGTCACATTTTACATATTGGCAAAAACATATTACTTTAAGGCTGACAAAAATCTTTCTTGCGCTTAACGTGTAAGGCACAGATTTAAATCATTCCCCTGATAGGCACTGTAGAATGTAAACTATTGCAAGCTAGCTGCCTCCACCTAATTTTTGAAGGTGTGACTCATTAAGTTGTTCTACTGAAAAGCTCAGGTAGAATTCCTAGTTAACTAGCAGAAAGAAAGAGACAAAATACAATAGGTAAGTGGAGATCTTTCAGTGGTTAGGAGCCAGTTTTCTCCAAGCACCTTTAGGTATCTGCTAGAGGGTAGCCCTGGCCATGATCCCTCAGGTGTTGTCATTTTCTGTTGGCCACACAAACAGAGATCAGTCCCCAGAAAGGAATCTAGTGGTGTCTCTGATCAACATCCCATCAGCCATAGGCTTCAATGGGGATTCACCAAAGAACAGCTGGGGAAACTGTCCTCTGCTGCAAAGAGTGGCAGCTGCTCTAGGAGCATCAACTAGCTGGTAGAGTAACCACTGTTTGTCCAAGTTCTATAGGGGGATAGTTGAAAGCCTGACAAGATTACCTAATACTTTACAGTAAATTTTTTAAAGTCTACAACTTGCCTCTTATGCACCTAAATGATAACTATACTAGGAGAAATGTATAGTCCCTTATACTAAATGTGTTTTGGTCCCATAAATGTGCTGCTTTTAGAGATAGCTCCTTTTGGTGTCACCCAGAAGTTGGTTCTCTCCACTGTGTCTCAGGTTTAGCCTCCTGAAAGAGACTTGCCCAGAACACTGAGCGGGACATGGCTTTTATATAGGAGGCATGACTGCCTCCTGGACAGGCAGTCTTTATCTCACCGGACCCAGAAACAGGATATGTGACCTTTTTCTAAAATGACTTTCCTGTCTTCGGCATTAATGAATGCTTGTTTTCTAAGGGCTTTACTTAGTTGGAACAGTCTATCGTTTTCCTAATCTTACATGCCTCTAAAAAGGAGCATACAAAGAGGTAGGAAAATTATGAGTAAGGTCAAAGAAAGGAAACTGGAACAAAATAGGCCTGACATTTCCTCTAGCATGTAGAGGGGGCTCAGAGCCAGTCTGTCCCAGTGAAACCTGTCCTCCAAGTCTCTAAGAACGGTTGCCGACCTAATGTCATTTAATTGGCAAAAGGAGAGTCCCGTGTTTTATATACAGTTAGGTATATTTTAAGTCTGAGCTAGGCTTAAAAAGTCCCATTTTACATAAAGTCCACTAGGCTTACTGAAAGTTACTCTCTCTAGTGCTATTGTCTAAAGTTAAGCAAGGAATACCAGTACATTTAGCATCTAGTTCAAATGCAACATATACAAGTATAAAGCAAATCATAAAAATGTTACATTAGAGAAAAATTGGAACCTTGTAACATTTCCATGTTTTAACTTAGATTCACCAACAACATTTTGACTAACATTTTAATAAAACCACATAAGACACAAAGCATAAGCGAATTTAAACAATTTTAACCAAACTATATGAGACAAAACTGTATGAGGCAAAGCATGAATAATTATGAGCAATGAGCAAAGACATATCAACACTTGCAGCATAAAATTTGTCACCTAAATGAGTCCCAATCCAGAATTTATGAAAGAAAAGCAAACTCAAACCTCCATCCTATGAGCTCAGTGGGAATCTCCAAATGATATAGGGAAAAAATGAAACTCCTGACCTGAAAGGTACTTGAGACGAGTTCATGTTCTCTAAAACTGAAGAATGAATTTTAGGAACAAACAGAGGTTATGAGCACAATATATTTATTTGGGGAAAGAAACCTTCTGTCCACAAAAGGGTTGTCTCCAAGGGTGTCAATTTGGAACTCTACAAATTCATTGTCATACTGATGATAGGGATAGTTGAATTCAAATGAAATTCACACGCTTGAATTTTATGATTTCAGCAAGTTTTTCAGTGAACGCTTATGACGTGTGGCATCTGCAGTACTCACCAAATAGAAATGAAACCGGTATCTCCCTTCCATCAGTGTATAGGCTAGTGGAGGGAACAGATTCACTTATAGTACTATAAGCAGGGCTATAATAATTGATATGGAACATAGATAATATTTCTTTCTACAAGAAGGGCTGTCAGGAAGGAGGAGTTGAATCTGAACCTTAATAGCAATTTGCAAGATGAGTGAGGTGAAAAATAATGTTTTATAGTGCAGAATAAGCAGAGAAAAAAAAAAATATCTTTTTCCCTAACTCTGAAACTATTGTTTATGCAGTCTAACACAAGCAATACTGATAACCTGTTTTATTTCTCATAGGGCACTAGAATTGGCTGTAAAATACAAAACGCACGTTGATACTGTTCTTGCTTACCGTCAGAAGTTTTTAGAGACATTTGGTAAACAGGAAACTAATGAGCGATATTTGCAATATGCAGAAGGTGTAAGTATTATAAAATATAATAATATGTATGCTTTATAAATATTCATCTTGACAAGACAAATATTGAGTGATTCATACTATAATATCTGAAAGAATGTTTTGCCATATGATGGTGTATTTTATGACTATACTATTGTTATTCTGTATTCTTAAAGGTATGTTCTGATTAAGTCAAATGTGTTTTCATAATACTCAACTTGTCTTAAAGTTGGTTGATAATATAAAAAATAGGCAACTAGAATAAAGGTTAATTCTTGAATTTTTGTCTTCCACCAGCTTCCTCCTCTACTCCAGAAAAAATACACAAGCACAGATGACACTGGCAAAAAAAAGTGTATTTTCTCACTTTGCAGAATTCTTAGAGGGTTGCTTGTACCTTATAGAAGTGCCTAACCTAGGTAGCCTTTACTACCTTTCACCAAAACAGGGTCTATCTTTGCTTGACAGATTTCTATGAGAATTTCAGATTTTATCACTCTAATTAGAAGATAGAAATTCCAGTATATATTGGTCCATGAGGACAACCAAATGCAAGTTTGCCCTACTGCCTGGAGCATAACTGATGTGGCTGCTTACCCAGATCCCTCAAGGATTAGAAAGCAGAAATAGAGCTCATCTCTCTAGCCATGAAGATCCAACAAGTTTGAAAACTTATAATTCTAAGACAGGGTTGACCATGAATCCAGCTCTGTAAATAGTTTTCTTAGCATTTTATTTATTCCAAAAATTATTTATGAGATCTTTTTCTGGGGTAGGCACTATGCTTAATGTTGAGTCCAGTGCACCCTGTCTTCTTGTGGTGTACAGTGTGGGAGCACTCATTCTTGGGGTAGAGTACTGTAGTACAGAATGTTCTGAGTCATCCTAGGGGCAGGGAAGAGCAATAAAGACATCTAGTTTCTAAAACATTATCCACTTCCACCAGAATACCACCCAGTGTCAGATCTACATTTTTGGACTTCAAATAAGTTTTAGGGTAATGAGATTTTTTAGAGTCATTATTTAGCCATGCAACTTCAATATCTCTAACTAAGATGGCTACAAGTTGTAAGTTTCGTGATAGAAAGGGGACATACTTTATAGAAGCTCCACAAATTATTTTGCTTTGGGACTCCCCTTAGTATTGAAGTTAATCTCAGGACTTTACACTATAATAACTTTCTCTACTATAAGGACAAACTCAGGGTCCCTAGAATTTCTGAGGCTTAATTGTAACTCATGAAATATAAAGTAACTACTGTAAATATAATGATAAGGAGCCTATACTATATCTGATGGATTTGTCACAGTTTTGAAAACTGAATACCTGGGCTGGGGCTGTAGTTCAATAATAGAGGATTCATCTAGCATGTGTGAGGCTCTGGATTTATACAAGCCAACAAAACAAAACACTGAGCGCTTACTGTAAATTTATTTTATTGTTTAATTTAAAATAGATTAATTCCTACTTTGTTTACTGGTTCTCATCATTAGTATTTTTTCAATATTTTCACATTAGGTACTTCTTTTTATGGTAGTAGGGATTAAATCCAGGGCCTTCACCCAAAGCTATATCTCCTGCCCCTTTTTAAAATTATTTATTTTGAGACAAGTTCTTGGTAAGTAGCTAGGTTGGGCTTGAACTTGTGATCCTCTTGTCTTTGCCTCCCAGAGTACATTGGATACTTTCAACAATATAGAAAATATAGTCCTTACCCTAAATAGAATTATATTTTAAATAGAAAACATAGATAAATAGATAGATAGGTAAACAGACAGACAGCCTTAACAGGTATATACAAATATATATGTATTCAACTATTAGGAAATACAATATTTCAATGATAGAGGTATCAAATTTCCAAAGTGGGATAACCAAACATGGTTTTCTTAGGTATTTTGTTTTCTTTCATCCTGAGACTATTTATTGTGAGTTTTTAATGCCATTACATTATGGTTTCCTACTTTTCCTCTTCTTAGATGCCGTTTGAAGGCGAACTGAAAATTGGAAAATAGTATTTTAAGATGCAATTTTAATTAGAATTTTCCACTACTGAGCAAACAGCTTTTGGGAACATCCACTCTACTTGCTGATCTTTTGGTTTCACTTAGTTCTATAATCATAATTTATCACCCATACTTACTTATCTGTAATAATATGTAAACCCTTTATTTTAGAATTTTAGAATTAAAATTTAATTTTAGAATGAAAGTTGAATGAACAAGTGTCATTTAAAAGAATTTAGAAGTTCTAGGTATCTGTGAATTCTGATGGGCTGACAGTACATATATTATGTAGAAGTGTATAAAGGAATGGAATCCTAACAATTTAAAGGAGGAGGTAAGAAGTTTGCTATACATTTATGTTTATGAGCTCTAAAATATTATTTGGGTTTTTCTAATTTAAAATAATGGAGCTCTTTCCAGCTGGAACCATGGAGGTTGCAGAAGAGAAGAAAAAGAAGGTTCCTGCTGTGCCAGAAACCCTTATGAAAAAGCGAAAACATTTCGCAGAGCTAAAGATATAGCGCCTGAGAAAGAAGTTTGCCCAGAAGACGCTTTGCAAGGCGAGGAGGAAACTCATCTATGAAAAAGCCAGGCACTATCATAAGGAGTACAGACAGGTACAGAACTGAGATCCGGATGGCTAGGATGGCGAGAAAAGCTGGCAACTTTTATGTCCCTGCAGAGCCCAAACTGGCATTTGTCATCCGGATCAGGGGTATCAATGGTGTGAGCCCAAAGGTCCGCAAGGTGTTGCAGCTTCTTCGCCTTCACCAAATCTTCAATGGTACCTTCGTTAAGCTCAACAAGGCTTCAATTAACATGCTGAGAATTGTGGAGC